CTTTTCCCTCCTCCCCTCCGTCCTTCTGCGCCCACCTGGCTCCATTCGCAGCAGAAGTCCGCCATCTTGTGGACATGTGCAGTTCTAACAGGCTAGTCCTGAACAGGAAGTCAAAATCAGAGAGGAGGTGGCTTCAAAGTCACTTAACCTGTCCTCCTACTGCCAAATACAGCTTCATCTCATTGGCTCTAAAAGTCAATGACATGAGTGGAGAATCTTTATGGTCTTCAAAATAAATAGCTCAGAAGCAAGCAGAATGGCATCAAAACAGGTCTGAAGGATTGCCCCTTCCGCCTTTGGAGAACTGAGACCCTGGTCTACAGATCCCTTCCTCCCTCTCCAGTCCACGAAGGACATCGGCTATTTAGTGAAATGCTTTACTCACGAGAGAGAGCGCCTACTCCACTCGCTCCTTCATAAGCAGAAGGCCTCTCCATGAGGTTAAAGAAGTCTAATTTCTGGCTCACTTATTGCTCAACCAGTCTATTTAAAACGTAGTTCTGGGCTGGGAATGGTGGCTCACACCTGTAATCCTAAGCACTCTGGGAGGCTGAGGCAGGAGGATCTCATGAGGTCAAGAGTTCGAGATCAGCATGATCAAAAGCGAGGCCCTGTCTCTCCAAAAACAAAAGAAAAGCTAGTCTATCACTCAGTCCTTAGTTTCTCTATCCATAAAATGGGGATACTAGTATTATCTACCTAATACATCTGTTGTGGACACAAAATAAGTTAACATAGACAAAGTGTTCAGAACACTGCCTAACCCAGTAAACTCAAGACATGTTACCAATTACATCCTCTACCACCGAACCCAACGTTCTTACAGCATTTAAATGTATCCCCACTCACAGTTGATATCCAGGTATGCCCAGGTACTATGGGAAAGAAATAAAAATATGAGTTATAGTCTTCACCTCCTGCAATTTGTGGCATAGTGCCGAAGCATGAACAATACATGTACACATGGAGCAATTGGTGTAAGGTAAAAAGACTAAGTGCAATAAAAGGGGGGAATAAAGCAAAAACATAAGGAGAAGCAGGAGAAGAGCATTCTCGTTCCCACCTGAGGAGATCAGGGAAGTCCCGCTGAGGCCAGGTAAACTCCTTGCAAAGCCTGGCACTCTAGGGGTATTGTGTGAAGCAAAGGCCAGGTGGGGAAGGGCCCACCACTTCACTGGGCCCTCGCCCACCTCCTGCAGCCTGACCTCAACCACGCAGCCTCGAACACTCGACTTTGTCATCAGACGGAAAGTGGACTCATTTTTCACTCCCCGCACACAGCCCCGTTGGTTTTTTCTCCTCCGTGGCGCTCATGCACGCTTCTTACCCTCCACGGCCACTGCTGCCCTGCTGGCCCCGCCACCACCTCCTCCTGCCCCACGGCCCGCAGCACTGTGGTTTAGTCTGTGAGCTCTACACGGGCAAAGACCGTGTCTCTCGTGTTCGCGGCCACATCGTCGGTTATCAGCGCTGTCTGGACACACAGCTGGGAGAGGGTCCACTCCCCGATGATGACCCTGCTTCAGACTTTGTCCAGCGTCCTTCCCCCAGCCCATAGTCCAGAGCAGCTGACCACACTGCAAGCAGGACAGACCATGGAGACTGCTACACGCAAACAAGCCTACACGAGAGGCCCGGCATTCTGTCAACAGAGGCCTCCAATACAGCTGGCGTGTTGACCGTGGTTGCCAGCAGGTGGGCCCTTTCTCCACTCTGTCTGCCGGCCGGGTTGGAAGCCAAGATCTCTGGAGCTGACCTGCGGAATCACAGCAAGGGGAGGGGGGATTGAGGCTGTGAGGTGCCTCTCAGCCCACATCAGCCCCCACGAGGTCGGCCTGACCAAGGGCCTGTGAGCGTCCACATCTGGTCAAGAAAAGTCCCCTTTCCAGGCTGTGCGGGGACGGTTCAGTCTGCACTTGCCTCCCGCGTGGATGTGACTTTGGGCTTCCACGGTGCATCAGCGCCCCTTTGCCGGCATTCTTCTTTCATTAATACATACGTTCACGTGTCCATCAGCGTGTACTCACTGGCTCTCCACCACCCCACCCCCCATGGCCCTGTGGCCAGCTGTGTCTTTATACGAGCTTATGTCTCTGTTCCATCTCTTGGTATGGGATTTATAGTCCCCCTGGCATAGAACAAGCAAATGCCCCTATTTCCAAGTTCTCAAAGACAGATGCCCACATTCCTCCAACCAATGTTGGGTTCCAGCAGAGAAGCAAGTCTGGCTCACTTCACACCTGTGCCTTGGATGGCTTTTATGACGCTGTCGCTGACAGCAGGGATGCCCGGTGGACGCAGGTCCCTACTGCAGAGGGAAGCTGGCCCTGACAGGCCCCTCCTCCTTGCACAGCCTCATCCCCTCTGCAGCAGTACATCACTGCCTTTCTCGTCACTTCTTAGACTAAGCCTTCCCTCCCCTCCCCTCCCCTCCCCTCCCCTTCCCTTCCCTATGCATGCAAAGTCTGCACAAACCCACAGAGGAGGTTTTAGAGGATTTTGCACATTGGCTTAACTATTTGAATCATAACTTTACAAGTCACCATTCTTTGTTGCAAATGACAGAAAGCCAATTCACATGGGCTTATGTAAAGAAGAAAGTTTGTTGGCACACAAAACAGAAGGGTTGCGAGGCAGCTCCCAGCTTCAGGCATGGCTGGATCCAGAGCCTCCAGCAATGCTGCCAGGTCCCTGCCTTTATCACTCAGCTCTGCTTTCTCTGCAGAAAATTCACCTTCAGGGAGCCATTCTCCCTAGAAGGCTTTCTCCTGACAGCTCTAGACTCACATTCTACCAGCTCAACACATTCAGCACAAAGAAAGCTTCTCTTTAATAGCCCGTGTAGGCCACTGCACTCTATCCTGGGCAACAGAGAGAGACCGTGTCTCCACCAAAAATAATAATAATAGTATATGTAGGCTACCAGCTTTAGCAAATTTTTGGGACACACTTATATTAAAAAATTATTCATTGATGATCCAGAATTCAAATTTAACTAAGCATCCTGTATTTTATCTGGCAACCCTTAGTCTAGTACAGGTCCTGGGATAGAATCTGGGCCATTTGGATCCTGTACCCATCCCAGACCCAGTCACGGTGAAAATGGGATCTGCCAGCAGGCAGGCCAAGGTCAGCTGCCTGTCCTTGGGATGGGGGAGGGGTATGGTAGGCCCCAAAGCACACATGTGCCCATCGTGGGATTTGGGCTCCCACAAGAATCAAGATGCTGACTGTGGAAGAAAGGGGAATGAAGCCTGCACAGGCGAGAACAGCAGACGCCCGCTACGGTGGCTTTGCAGGTGCCGGACAGCAATGAAAAGTATGCAACTTCACGGTGCTCGCATGGCACAGAAGAGCTTACCAGCGTTTCCATACCACTCTGTTCCCGCAGGCATTACGGCCATTCCCAGTGCCACTTCGCTAGGGCTGCCATGACGAAGCACCACAGACTGCGTGCTCAAACCACAGAAATTTATTCTCCCACAGTTCTGGAGGCTGGGCGTCCACGGTCCAGGGGCCGGGCCGGCAGGGCTGGTTTCCTCTGTGGCCTCTGTCCTCGGCCTGCAGATGGCCGGCTTGGCCCTGCGTGCCCCGCACGGCCCTCCCCAACTGCCTGTGTCCTAATCGCCCCTTCTTATAAGGACAACAGTCATATTGGATTAAGACCTGCCCTAATAATCCCATTTTAACTTAGTCACCTCTTCAAAGAGCCTGTCTGTAAATACGGTCTCATTCTGAGGTTCGGGGGGGGGGGCAGGGCTTCAGGATGCGAGTTTAAGGGGGACACAGTTCAGCCCAGGTCACTCTCTCTCTCTCTCCCCTTTTTTCTTTTCGTTTGAGGAACAGGACAGCGAGGGTGGTCACAGCTTATTCCCAGTCCCCGGCTGATTCAGTCCTGGAGCTCCAACCAGCGGCAGGCCCTGCTGCCCTCACCATACCCCTGCTAAAACGTGTGCCCACGCCCTGCGGCCACCAGGCTCCCTTGGGAGGAGAGGGGACTCAGCAAATCTGCCTTCCTGGTCCTGGCACCCAGCACGGGGCAGACGGGCAGACGTTGTTCTTGCAGTAAGTATTTATCGAAAGGAATGAAACTGAAAAAAAAAAAAAAAAACCCTCCTAAACAGTTTTCAGAGATTTAGCTAAAAGGAAAGGAGGACGGGCACACAAGCTCAGGATTCGAAGTGATAAAGACTCTTGGGAACAGCAGAAATGATGAAGCCTATGGATGTGTAAATGAGCGCGGGAGGAACTCATCAGAAGGGTAAATTACCAAACAGAAAAAGACGGCCGCAGCGCGGGCAGAACAGTGCATACTGCAGTGTGCTTAGTTCATAAGAAATTCATGAGCAATTTTGGAAATTTTGTTGGTTTTGGTGGTGGGAGAGAATTGTAAATATGTATAATATGTAAATGCCTTTTATAATAGAAGCCCATGGAGATAAACGAGGCTGTCTGCGGAAAAGCTGTGAGCAGTATCAGATGTTAATATAACTGTCGTCGCTCTAGAAATTACCATAATGCTTACAGGGATTTGAAAGTTCCTGAGCTTTGGGGAGAAATGCATAAATACTAACCAAAAAACACGCGCGCGCGAGCACACGCGCGCACATACACACACACGCACACTCCTCTTTTTTTCCTGTTCCTTTCTTCCTTTCTTTTTTCTTTTTCTTTTTTCTTTTTAATGTTAGGAAGGTAGCCCTAGTGAAAGCAGGCTTTGGAGTTGAACCTGGTTCAACTTCCGTCCACCACCGATGAGCTGTGCGACGTTGGGCAAGCCACCCAGTCCCTCTGGGACTCACTTTCCCCATCTGTGAAATGGGGACGCTCTGCCAAGGAGGAAGGCGCGGGAAGGGCTCAAGCCACGCTCCTCCCCCGTCCCGTCCCCGGCGCGCGCCTGCCCGCGGCCACTGGAGGGCCCTGGGGACCGGCCGGGCCGGCCGGGGCGGGCGGGCGTCCCCGGGAGGAAGGGGCGGCCCCGCGCGCTCCGCCCCGCGCGCTCGCTCCGATGGCGCCGGCCGCGCGGCCTGGCGCGGGCGCTGTGGCGGGGCTGCAACGCGCTCATGGCCGCCTTCTTCGCGCTGGCGGCCGCGTGCAGGTCAGCGGGCCGCGGCGCGGCCGGGGCGGGCTGGGGACAGGGGACTCCCCGGACTCCGCCCCAGGCCGGGCGCGCGGTGTAGACTGGCAAGCCCGGGGAGTCACAGGGGCGGTTTAAGGTACGAGGAGGGTGAGGATCGGGGCTTATGCGTGGGGCCCCCCAGGCTCTCCCCTGCTCAACACAGATGCGTTCGGGGCGCGAGCCGCGCGCCTGCGACCCTGGCCCGCCGGCCCCCCTGGCGCGCAGCCTGGAGCTCGAGTGCGGGAAGGAGCCGGTCAGCGCGCCCGCGGAGGGGCCTGCGCAGAGGCAGCCCTGGCTCCTTCCCGACATCCAGCCCGGGTGACACTGCGCGCACGTCAGGGTCAGGGGAGGACGCGAGCAAGCCCTGTGTAGCGTCGTTACGGTTCCCACTCTGCCTGGGAGGCCTCCACCGTAATCTCCCTCATTTCCTGAGGCCTGGAGGGCCCTCAAAATACCCAGCCTGGGTTCGGCGCGCGCTCCTGAGCTCCGGTGCGGGTCCTTCTCAAAAACGTGTGGCCGGACACGCGCACGCAAACCGTCCGTCGTGTTCAGCCAGGAATCCCCTCGAACCTGCCTCATCTGCGAGACTGTCTTACGCAGACTTTGGATCCGCCAAATGTGCATCGTCTGGCACGGACCAAACGCATGAAAAAGCAGGCCAAATACAGGGACGGCAAGGGACTGGGTGTCTGCTAACTTTAGCCTTGGTGTTTTGGCATTCCAGGTAAACGATCCGGACGCGGAACTGTGGGTGGTGAGTATGAGCTGCGGGGACACTTTCCTCCATTTGAAAGAATCCTGGAATAGCACAAAACCACGCAGTCTTCTGTTTACCTCTGCTCCCTGCTTTGCTAACTTAAAAACTTAGAAACCAAGCCGTTTGTAAGCTCTTTTTCCTGAAATATTAGTAGGGAGATCGGAGTGACAATGTAGTGTGTGTGTAACTTGCAAACTCTCTAGAGTCAGAGGTCTTTCCACAGGATTCCCTTCCAGTAGAGGCCCCGCTGGGGACCCAGAGACTCCCCAAGAGTGACTGAACCGTTCCCTTTGGTTTCTAGCCAGAAACTCCAGCAGACCTTTGGTCGGGAAATGACAGGCCTAAGCTCTGTGGTGCTGCTGATGTAGGGAGTTACATTTCTAAACGTAATTAAAGCCCATTAGACCTACAGTGTTCATTTAGCACGTAACTGCCATGTGAGCTGTATTTAACTCATGCCTGTTTTGAGCCCTGGGTCTTGTGAAGCTTGTGGAGCTCACATGTCTGTTTACCTTTACCGTTACGGGCAGTTTTTCAAGTTGCACATAACTCGCGCACAGAAAACAATGAAAAATAACAGACTTTTCATCAAATTAGAAGTTTTTATTCTACTTTTCTAATAAAACACTGTGGCCCCAGGGAAAAATTTTTTTTTCTATCATGGCAGTCGATGTGTTAACTGACACTCTGATTTGAACCATTAGAGAAGAAATGTGTGTCCCATACATTTTCTGAAATATTTGAATTTTGCCCAGTTTCTTTCAATACAGATACACAAGACTGTACAATATTAATGGGGAGATGATTCTTAGCCTTTAGAATAATGTTGGCCATGTGAGCAACATGCATCAAAGCATTTATTAATAGAATTATAATGCAAAATTCTAGTCCATTTGTTTAGTGCAGTAAAACCTCATTCTGATATTGCTTATCCAGATTCATATGCCCCTGAATCAAATCAAATTGCATTTTCTTGGCACTCTGATTCATATCTTGTGTTCCAAATAGTATTTCCCCACAGACAAGTCTCAAACATCCAGCTTAATGTTGAATTTCCAAAAGACTGCTGGATATATCCACCTGTAGGTCACAGTGCTCCTCAGATATGCTCAAGGTCCTACCTAGCTTCTTTCCCTGCAAAACTCACTCCTCTTCCTGACTTGGCATTTCTGTTTTCAGCAGAATCATTCTCTGAGTCATCCTTGCTCAAAACCTCAGTCATCTTTAACATCCTCTGTCCCTTGCCACTACCTTTGAGATCCCCTCAAAAGAAAAAATAAGTTTGACCCGGGCAGGATGGCACACACCTGTATTCCCGGCTACTCAGGAGGCTAAGGCAGGAGGATGAGTTGAGCCTGGGAGTTTGAGGCTAGCCTGGGCAACATAGCAAGACCCTATCTTTACAGAATTAATTAAACCAACAATCGAGGTTTAATTGCTTATCTGCATGGTACCTATACATTTTACCTTTAACTTCATGCTCAAATGATATAATATGAAGAATAGATCCCATATCCCCACAGACATCCTCCTCATTCCCAGTTCAGCCCTCTGTTACCTCCCACATAGACCCCTGGCACACCTTCCCAACTCCTCTGCCCGCCTTACATCTCCTCTGTTCCTAGAACACTTCCTGTGTGTTACTTTCTGCTTCAAAAACTTTTGTTACTTCCCAAGATCTCTTAAGTGGAAACTCCCAACTTGGATTCGAGGCCCACCACCGTATGGCCCCAGCCCACCTTCAACAACTAGTCCAGCAATAATAGCTAATGGGCCTTGCCCCTAGAACTCCCGCATGTCATACTCCACCCAAGCGCCAAGGACTGTCTCAAATGCTGTCTCAGCCAGGAATCTCTCTCTGCTTCTTTCCTGTAGTTTCCAACCATTCTTCCTTTGAACCTTTTTGTAGCACCGAAACATTTGGCCTTGCATTAGTATTGTCTCTGTTTCTGCCAGCTCCCAGGAGGACAAGGACCAATCTTCCCTCTTCTTGTTAGCCTTTGGGCAATCTACCTACCATAAAGCCTCCCTGATGGAAATCCTTCCCATAATGACTCTTGAATGAATGGATGAACACATACTAGGTCACTGGGCTTTGGGGGCTGGTCTATACCCAACCCATTTCCATGTCCCTACTTCACCTTGCTTATGGAGGATATTTGTATCAGGATGCATAATAATGGATAATAATAATAATAATGAATAATAATTTTCCATAATAATGAAAAATCTGACTAGCATCAGGTTGTAAAAATACAGAACATCTCACTAAGACATCCAGAGGTAGCTGTTGAATAGTCAACAGGGTCATCAAGAACGTGGGCTTGCTGTCTTTCTTCTCTGCCATCCTCAATGTGTGAGTGATAACTCCTCATGTTCACAGAATGGCTGCTGCAGCTCCATACATCTCATCCCCAGAAAAGAGCATCCCAAGTAGGAAGAAGCAAGGCAGAAGAACAACACATTTTTGTCCTGTGTTTTCTTTTCTTTTATGAGAGAGGAAAATGTTTTCCCAAAAGCCCCTTGGGCAGAGCTGCTGTTCAGTCCTGTGTGTACCAGTATGGCACATTGTCAGGGTTCCAGTCTGATTGGTCAGCACCCATGCACATGGGTTGTTAAATGCTTTGACTATCAGCCTTCCTTCTAAAAGGCTTCTTACATTTCATTGCTAGAACATGACCACCTCTACCTGCGAAAGAACCTGAGAAAACAAATAGGTGGACAAAGGAGAGCGGTGTTAGGCATGATACCATGGTACTCAATGACCATGTTTTGAATAAGCTAAATATTATAAATGAATACCATAACACCCTTATATTTTTTGAAAATCCACCAACAAAAATATAAAAGACTGAGTTCATTATTGAGTGTTTGTACTATGCGTTGTTTTAACTTGTGTTCTAGAAACAATTATTTTCAATTTCTCTGTCCTCCAATTTTTTAAACCTCATTCAAGATAGAGGAAAGTATTTAAATAAAGATTATCAGGTCACAGCTGCCATGGGAAACTATTACTTAGTTGATTGTTTCATTCATATGTTTACAATATGCTGAAATAAGAAGGTTTAGAGAAACTTTAGTCCATTAATGACAGATATCTGATACATTTGGATGGATGCATATATTTTTTTTTTGGTCTCACTTTGTTGCCCAGGCTAGAGTGAGTGCCATGGCATCAGCCTGGCTCACAGCAGCCTCCTCAAACTCCTGGGCTCAAGCGATCCTCCTGCCTCAGCCTCCCGAGTAGCTGGGACTACAGGCATGCACCACCATGCCCAGCTAATTTTTTTCTATGTATATTAGTTGGCCAATTAATTTCTTTCTATTTATAGTAGAGACGGGGTCTCGCTCTTGCTCAGGCTGGTTTCGAACTCCTGACCTCGGGCAATCCTCCCGCCTCGGCCTCCCAGAGTGCTAGGATTACAGGTGTGAGCCACCACGCCCGGCCTCTGCCAAACATTTCTTATAGGCAGCACAGTTAAATACTGTATAATAGATGTGTGTGTGTCTTTAACTTCTTTCTCTCCCACCCCCCTTCGGTGGCTAAGCCATGTAGTTTTTCACTAGAAAAGCAGCCCCTTACTGCTCTGTTGTAGTCCTTGGAACAGCAGCAGCAGTGCCCCCTGGGAGATTGTTAAAGAATCGGAGTCTTGTGGCCTACCCAGACCTCCAGAATCATACTCTGCGTTCTAACACGATCCCAGGTGACTGGGGCGCACATTAAACTTTGGCACTGGTCTGACCCTCAGTCACATGACCGTCCACCTGTGCAAGACTACTTGACTTTCAAATGTCAGTATGGGCCATTATTCCAATAATCATGAGGGATGGAGTGGGAAAGATGAAGACCGAGTGTCTAATCCGATGCTCTCTCTCCCCAGGGGCAAGACAGACATGTTTTTATACTGAAAACAAATAGCTCAAATGTACAGCTCTGACAGCTTCCAAACAAACCAGATGTGTCTGACATAAGCATAGCAACTGATGTGGTTAAACTGCTACACATCTCAAAAAGTCCCCACGTGTCTTATAAACCAACCCTCCCTAATTGCCCTCTGCCTGCAAAACACACACACACACACACACACACACAATAGTGAAGTTTGTCCAGAGCCTCTTATGAATGAGGCTTAGGATAGGGCCTCTTTAGGGCAAGCCTTCCCACTTCCAGACCAACTTATCAACAGCTTGCAAAGGAAGAGCCCGGCCTTATCGTTGGGACAGCTGGTCCATACATTGTTAGGAAACTGTCTGTGGTCTCACAGGGTTGGATCGTTGGGCCGGATAGTCCAGTGGGTCAAACCCAGCAAGGCCATCTAGCTAATCGTGATTACTCCTGCCCTACTTTTCAAAGAACATTTTCCTGTGTGCAAGTGGGGAAAGGCCATTTGGGTTTTGGGTCTCCCAAGAGTTTGGGTTTCCAAGAGTTTGCTTGGGAGACACTGGGAAGTCAGCGTGTCTTAAGACTCAGACTCTATGCTCAATGCTAGAGCTCTTAGATGAACAAGCCTTTCCCGGAGTAGCCTACAGTCTGGGAGGAAGGTGGATAAAATCGCAGCCAGGAGTGGCAAGTGCCACAGAAGCAGAGGCTGCCACTTCCTCAGTCGTTACTGAAACCTAGAGGCTGTGTTGGAGCACAACAGCCACTGAGCTCACTTTTCCTTTGCTTCCTGGACGCCTCTGAACGCCTCAAGTATTGGGCACACTTCCTAACCCACATAATTTCCTCTCTTTCTGCTAACAGGTGGTGTACACGATACCCGCGGTGTTGACTCTGCTTGTTGGATTTAACCCTCTTGTCACAGGTATAGACCTTGCACTCTGAATGGAGGTACAGCAAATCAGATTTCCTTGTCAGAATGAGGTCTATCTGCCCGACTCTCAGGAGGAAAACGGGGCTCCCTAGGCCTTTCTTCTCATTTCCGATAACGAGAGGAGGTCATTCTCATACAGATTATTCTTGCCCATCTTCTGGAAAACCTTACGAGGATCTGCTGCACTAAGCCCTTCTTTACCAACTTGGACCCAAGACCCCTGGTGCTGGTGTGGAATCGTGGTTATGAAGTTCAACCCACGAGAGGGAAGGGTTTTGGCCACTACACTGATTTCTTAAGCCACCAAACTAACGTAAAATAAGCAAAAATCTAAGTGCTAATCTTGTATTCCCATACTCAGTGACAATCAATGTGTAGCATTTATTTTCTCCTCATAACCCAGTTCAACTCATTTTTTTTACACATTTTTTCTTGGAGCAACACCACCCCCATTAATCATTTTCCTATTTTGAATTTATTCATTATCTATTTATGTGAAGCAGCACTCAAATAGAGAAATTGTTTATAATGTCTAGAACAAATATCTAGATTTTTCATTAATAATATGTTGCTTTTCCTAATCTCCCCACATACTGTCATGGTACCTACAGCAGTGTATTGCATGCTTTTATATATGGTTTTCCCTACGAGGCTGTGTAAGCCCCTTAAAAGCAGGATCATGTTTTATGCATCTTTGCATAAGCCTAGCCTACATGTATGTGCCTTAAGCCATTTGGGCTGCTATAACAAAAATATCACAGACCGGGTGGCTAATAAACAACAGAAATTTATTTCTCCCAGTCCTAGAGGTTGGGAAGTCCCAGATCAAGGTGCTGGCAGATTCAGTGTCTGGCGAGGGCCCACTCCTGGTTCATACGTGTGGCCTTCTCTCTGTGTCCTCTCGTGGTAGAAGGGGCGAGAGAACTCTCTCAGGCCTCTTTTATAAGGACACCAATCCCATTTGTGAGGGCTCCACCCTCATGAACTAACTACCTGCCAAAGGCCCCACCTCCCAATACTCTCAGCTTGCAGGTTAGGATTTCAGCATATGGATTTCAAACATATAGGGGGGGACACAAATACTCAGCCCACAACAACATGGCCAAGCATATGGTAGGTGCTTAATGCTTGTCAAAGGAGTGAATGGCTATAAAACAGGATTTACTATGTACTCATTCTGTAACCTGCTTCTTGGACACCTTACATGTACATCCCAAGTGGGTATACATGTAAAAAAAAAATCCACTTAAAATAACTAGTTTGGATAGCTCACAGGCCACCCAGCTCAATGCTGGGCAAAACGTAGCCGCTTCACTTTTTATGGCACTAAAAAACTTTCAACCAACCTTACGTTAGACAGTTTTATACTACAAAACAGTGTCTTATAACAGAAAAAAGAATACATTTATATTGGTTTTCTTATTAGTAGAAACTATTAGTCCTGATAGATTATTTTTTAGTTTCCTTAAAATAGCTTTTAGTAGTGAGCTTGGAAGTTCTCAGGGGCCTTAGAATAAAGAATAGTGATTCCTACCTAGGTGGGGAAAGTTCTAGCTCCCCAGATGCCCGGGCTCCTCCTATAGAACCCTAGAACTCTGTCTACATCTTTAAGGTGGGTCAGTTAGGGCTACTTTAGTTGTAAGCTGTAAAAAAAAAACTCAACTCCAATGTGCTGTGAGCTAAGAAGGAGACGTGTTGGTGCAGTTTACTGGAAGGGCTGGGGAGGTGCTGGCTTCAGGCACTGGTGGCCCCTGCACGTCACCCGCGGGCTCTACGCGGCAGCCGGGCGCTCCCGGTTCCCGTCCGCACCGTGCTGAGCCCCACGGGACATAGACTCTGCTTCTTCACGATGCTGAAGTCCGAACCGCGTTGCTGGCCCTGCCTCACCGTCTGTCCTGAGCTACTTCGCTGTGGGTGAAGGGACGGATGTGTTGACGGACCCGGCCGTGGTCCAGTTTGCTGGGACGCTCAGACTGGGGGTGGGCAGGGTGGATTCCCAAAGCAAACGAGGGCGGTCACCCCAGGAAGGGGAGGTCACATTTATAGCTGGTGCTATCACCTCTGTGCTGTCCCTCAAAAAAAAAAAAAAAAAAGTTTTTCTGACTGCCTTTTCTGAAAGCAGACCACGGCAAAACAAGCACAGGGATCGCTTTTCTGGGGGGCGTGATTCCGTGATGAATGGCATCAGGATGTCTGTCTTAGGTAACAGCGTCTGGAGGGGCGTCTCTGCGGTGCACACGTTCCTCTGTGTGGCCTGGGCCGTGGGCCTGGCCTACCACCTCTTGCTTCATACACAGCAGAGCATCCTGCACGAGGAAGAAGGCAGGTGAGCAGTGGCTCTTGTCCTTTGGAAGGGCGGGATAGAACTGCGGGACCTTGTCTTCCTTTATAATCCTTACCCGTGCACCGCGGTGATTGGCCTCCCCGGCTCGCTGTGCGGGGCAGGGCAGGTGCCATCTCCCTCCCAAGCTGAAGGAACCGAGGGAACGGTGCAGTCAGGACTCAAACCCCATCACTCGCACAGCAGACAGTCTGTCCTTACATTGCACGTTACACTGCATCACTGTCAGGCAGGGGGCCTTGGCCCCATGTGACGAGTGGCAGCACTCTGCAGCGATACTCAGGCCAGTCACCCACAGCGCTGTCAGCGTTCCGACCCAGTTCCAGTTTCAGCCGGAGTCTTATCTGCAAGTGTGATCAGCCACCTCAGAGGTCAAGATGTGAAGCCAGCCTGTTAGACTCGGTGGTTTGTCTCATGTCATCTCCGCCCTCTCTCACGACCATTTGTTCCTGTTTTATCACCTCGTCCTTTGCTTTCTGCCACCCTTGACCTCCTTGGCCTCATTCATAAGCCCTTTCCCTTTTTCTCTGCCCCACTGCTGACATCTGCCAACACCGAGGGTCAGAGACTGTAAGTTCCGCGTCTCTGAAAAGGTGCTGCTTTGTCACAGTCCCTAATCTTTAGAAAGCTGGAGAGCAAATCAGGCCGGCCTGCAGGTAGGATGTAACCAAACAGGTGGAGTCACCTGCAGCATGAAGCCCATGAGCTTTGGGGCGCTCAAGGTGGGGCTGTCAGTGGAACTATGGCGGAATGTGATTGTTTTTATTCTGTTATAATACCTATATCTAGAAGCATATACCCACCCCAAAGTTACAGTCTGATTCATACTACAAATCTTTCCTCTCCCCTAAGAAGTGACCCGATCTCCTGCAATATGTGCTCAAATTATGTATTGATTTAAGTTCATCGCGCCTAATACTGAGGCCTCTAAAAAATGTGAAAATGATGACTGATCAATCTGGGATTGTTTTCTTGGTTGCACTGTACCTCCCACTGACCTAAAATAAGTGATGCGTCTCTGTGGGTTTTTAAATATTCATTTAGTTTTTGGGAAGGTCCACTTATAAGTTGGGGAACAGTCATGGATCTCATATCTGCCTCTTAAGATGAAATTCATTTTCATATAAGCCTTTAAACTGTCTGAAAAAAGTAACTTATGGATCACAGCTAGAAATATTCTATGGATGCTGTGTATCGTGGGGGAAAGTCACTAGGTCAGAATGTACTATCAAGCAGGCACACAGAGCATGTGACGATACGCATCTCACTTGCAGCCACCCCAACGGTATGAAATGTGTGCTTTTTTGCAGGGAGCTCTCTGGTCTGGTGATTATCACAGCATGGATGAGCCTGTGCCGCAGTTCATCAAAGTAAGCATTTAGCGCGTCAGTTACAATCAGATGTCTTCAAGGGTGATAAAATCAGGTGGTAAGTGAAAATATTGACACACAAGTAAAAACAGGAATTTTTTTAAAGAAATACTTCCTTTCCCTAAGGGAAGTTAACAACAGTAGGTTCAAAGTTTCATGATCACTCATGTTCACGAACACCAGAGTTTTGTGCAGTTTTTGTGCAGTTTTGTGCCCAGTGCAATCACGGGCAGTTGCCGGCCTAAAAGGCGTTCTCCAGGGTGAAGGAAAATGATCTCAGAGGAAGCTGGAAGATTCAGAAAAGTAAAAAAAAGGAAAATACAAATGTGTGTGTACATATAATGAATACTAACTTATAAAGCAATAATATTGATGTTTTGTGGGTTTCAACATATATCAGATAAAAACACATGACAACAGTAGCATGTAAGTTGGAAGGGAACAAATGGAATAAACATGTTCTAAGGTCCTTTAATAGTATGGGAAGAGTAAAAGTACCAATTTGTATTAAACGTTGACAAGTGAAGGATTCATGTTGTAATCCTTAGGGTAACCACTAAAAGAATAAAAAATTATTATAGAAGGCAGGAAAAGAGACGGAAAAACAGAATAAATGGAACAAATGGGAAGCACATGTTAAGAAAGTGATTTAAAGCCAAAGAGATCAGAAATTATATTAAATCTAAAATGTATGGAATATTCCAGTTAAGAGTCAAAGATGTTCAAAGTGTATGAAAAGATTAAAAACCCAACTCCACTACTGTTTATAAAAGACAATCCTTAAATATATAGTTACAGAAAGACTTACAGTCAAATGATGGAAAAAATTCACTGAACAAATACCAGCCACATGAAAGCCAGTATGGCCATTTTCATTAAAAAGTACACTTTAAGACAATTATTAGAGAAAACAACATTTGTGAATATTTTTAATATTTTTAATTGTTTATTTTGAAAATTTACAAGCATATCTAAAATCAGAGAAGCTAATAGAATGAATCAGATGTATCCATCACCAAGCACCAACAAGTATCAATATGTCCAATCTTGTTTCATCTAAACCACTACCCTCTCCACACTGCCAGACTATTCTGAAATAAATTCCAGACATCATATTGTTTCCTTTGTATTTCAGAATGTATCTCTAAAAGCAAAGCATTTCAAAACTAACCACTCTACTCTCATCATACAAAAGCTAAAAGGACAATAACTCTTCAGAATTATGAGTTTTCCAGTTACTGTTTAGATTTCCCCAACAATCTTATAAATGTTTGTCTCTTTGTGCCTTATACTTCCTATAAATTGGTGGTCAGATCTAGAAGTTTCTGATTATTATAATACCAGATTCTGGTATTATAATTATTATTTATTATAGACTTTTTTATGTTAAATGATGGTGTTATATTATTCAATCATAATATACATAACATCTACCTGTTTCTCTGTGCTATTAATAGTCTTTGATGATTATTGCCTGAATCTGTTAACTCATTTGGGTTGCAAAATGGTGATATTCTGATTATATAATTACTTGTTTATTAGCTAGAAAACATCTATAAAGAGAAACTTCCACTTATTAATTCTTGACTACACTGAGGTTCATATCATGAGCAGAAAGGGAAAGGAAAAGGAGTTGAGTCTCTCCCTTTATTTACCAGTTTTCAGAATGAATTGTTTCTTACCTGGGCATTTGCCAAAGGTGGTCAGTGAGTTTTGTCTCTTTGTTGTATTCATTTCTTTGTTTAGTACCATTATAAAGTCATGGCTTTAGACATATTTGAAGTGTTTCAATCCATGGCAGTTATTATTATGTCTTTATTCTGTCCTATCTTTGACCTCTGGCACTTAATCAGGTTGGCTTCTGAATGCCTTTTGACATGATCGTAGTAATTTTTGATGGCTTCCTTGCTTTCTGGTATGACAAGATGTTCCAGACTCATGTTATACCCAGAATCATGTTTTATGCCCCGGACCTGGAATCAACCACTTCTGCAATGTATGTGTGTGTGAATCTATATATCTGTCATAAATACATATGTGTATAATATACATATATACATGTACATATATATTTAAAGATAAAATATGAGTTCATACTAATTCTAACTATTTGTATTGAGGATACCAGTTTTCATTTTACCTTTCCAGAGATCTTGTACCTATATCTTCTTTTAATCCTGGAAAAATCTCTAGTCTCAGTGACCTCAACATAATAACTCACTTGATTTATCCTCCAGTACAAACACAGTCTCAAAATAACTATATGACTACTGAAAACAGGTTGTCTTGTTTTCGTCATTAGGGTGTATCCCACAAAGGGATGCACACTCAAATTCCTGGGAATAGTTGTTCTGTATGCTAATGCTGCCAAGTGAATACACAGTTAAGTTCATTTATTTCTAGGGATAATTTTATTCCAAATATATTGATATTATTTTATAATTAGGTAAAATATCTATATGGCTCCAAAGTAAAATCTACAAAATAAGATATATTTAAAAAAATCTGTATCTGGCTCTGTATCTTCCCTTTCCCTACAGGTGACATTTTTTTCAATTTTATGATTTATTCTTCCATGGTTTTTCAATGGAGTGAATATGTGCATTTATTTGTATTCCTGCTTGTCCTAGATAAGTGGTCGTATATTATACACAATTGTATTCTACTTGCTTTTTCACTTACTACATCCTGGAGCTCATTCTACAGTGTATAAAAGCTTTTCTTATTCTGCTAGTAGATAGCTCCCTAGCTTATCCAACCAGTCCTCTACTGTTTGGATAGTATCCAGTCTTTTGCTCTTAAAGACAGTGCTGCAATAAATAGCTCCATGTATATATCTAACATATTTTTATAAGTATGTCTTTGAGATGAATTCCTGGAAGTGAGATTGCTGTGCCCAAGTGTAAATGCATAGTTAATATTTTGATAGACTCCCAAATTCCCCTCCATATGGCTTGTTGCATTTTGTATCCCCTACAGCAACAGAGAAGAGTACCTCTTTGCCCACAGTCTTGCCAACAGAGTATATAGTCAAAACTTTGAATTTTTGCTAATCAGATAGTTAAGAAAGGAGCAGTTTTATTAATAACTTACATTTGTCTTATTAAGAGCAAAGGTGAGCACATTTTCATGTGGTTAAGGGCCATTTGCATTTTTTTCTATGAAATGTTGGTCCACCTCTGAGAAATGTTGTTTTAACCTGATTCTTGCTAAAGTTGTTGGTCTTCTCTATTTTTAGAAGCTCTTTATGAGTGATATAAGCTGAAAATATTTTTTTTTTGCAGTTTGATATGGTTCTTTTACTTTACTTATGCAAAGTATACTTTGCTAATAAGTCTTTCATTGTTTTTTTTAATGTAACCATATTTATCAATCCTTTTCCTTATGACTTCTGGATTTGAAGACATAGTTAGGAAAATTTTCCTCACTCCCAAGTTGTAAAGTAACTTACCTCAATTTTCTTCTAATACATGTATGGTTACATTTTTACACTTAAATATTTGACTCTATTCAGAATTTATATTGGTGTCATGGTATGAAGAATGAGTCCAAATTTATATTTTTATATGGCATGTACGTTGATCTCACATCACTCATTCTCTTTCTTTTATTATTTTGGAACAGGTCTTACTCTCGTTGCCCCAGGCTACAGATGCAAGTGCATCATCTTGGGCTCACAAACCCAAACTCTTGGGCTCAAATGATCCCCCTGTTAAACCTCTAAAGTAGCTAAACTACAAAGTGCACCCACACCAGCTAATTTTGTAAAGGGGTCTAATCTATTGTTCAGCGTCTCAAACTATGCCCCAAGCAATCCCCCCTGCCTCAGCCTAAGATGCAGGATTGCAGGCCTGGCACACACCTCACTCAACACTGCTTATTCTAAAGGTGGATTTAAACCAAATAGAACACTTTTTAAGACGAAATTCAGTCACAAGAATATAAAACTCTAAATTGGTATGCCCTAATACACATACCTCCAAAACAACAAAATTGACCAAACCTAAAAAGAAAAAATTGAAAATTTAATGCATCTTAGAATTTTAAAATATTCCCAGTCTATTAATAGAACAAACAACAACAAAAAATCAATCTAGCAATAAAATATTTTAATCACATGACAAGGCAACCAGAACAGAATCCACATTCTTTCAAGATACACATCGAGTATTTACAAAAATACTATACTGATCAGGCATGAATAAGCCCAATACATTCTTTGTGTTCCTTTGACCACAGTCAGAGACCACCGTGCATGAAAGGAAATCTTAACAAAAAGATAAGGTAGATCACATTATTTTAGACTTAGGAAATCGCTCAACATAATATTTGTGTCAAAAAAATACTATAGACTAGAAAATATTTAAGCTGAATAGGAGAACACTACATATCCAAATTTATGCGCATACAGCTAAAACTCATGCTAGAGGGAAACTTAATGTCTTAAGACATATTACATACTTTTAAGTGTGCTAAAAATCAATGAAATGAAGCTTTCAAGAAGTTAGGAATTTCCATTTCAGAAGTTAAGACAAAGAATCATAGTTAAACCAAAAACAGAAGAGAAATAAACAAAAGTAGAAACAATGAAATAAAAATTGACACAAAATAAGAATAATAAAGCCAAGTATGATTCTCTAAAATCTTTATAACCATTGATGAATCCTTGGTAAAACTAAGAAAGAAAAAAAAAGACACGAACAAGCAAGAAGAGGCACAAATACATTCAGTAATAAAAAAAGAACACCATACATATCTAATGAATATTTAAATTCATAAAATATTATAAAGAACTTTACAAATAAATTTGAAAATACAGATTAAACACACAGTCTTGAAAAAATACAATTTACCAAAACATAACACAAGAAAAAGTATTCAGAACAAGTCACATAACTTAAAAAATGAGCTAAATAATTTTAAAGTTTTTTCTCCTAAAGGAAAAATTCTAAATCAGATGGCATAACTTAGAAGAGCGCTAAATTTAAGGAAGAATAATGTTAAATTTCACAAATGCTTCCAGAGAACAGAAAAAAAATAACATAATATAACACTATCCAACTCATTTATATTTGAGAGCGATTAACCGTTGATATCAAAACCTGACAAGAACATTACCAAAAAAGAAATGGCACAGCATTCTCACTCATATCACAGATGGAAAAATTCACACAACTATTAGCAAAATTAATCGCTGCATATAATAGCCCAACCCCAAGTTGGTTTATTCTAGAAATACAAATACTTTAACACTCAAAAAACAACAATAGTTCTCCACATTGCAAATAAAAAAGAAAATAAACTATCTTCAATCATACGAAAGCATTTGATATAAGTTCAACATTTGTGTACGATAAAGCTGCTTAAGTGAGTGGAAGGAAACTTAACCAGATATAGAATTATACTGAAGTTATGATCTTAATGGTTAACATGAAAACTTCTCTCTGAGATCAGGAATGAGATGAATAGCCACTCTTGCCACTTCTACTCAACATTGTGCTAGCTATTGTCTAGCCAGTGCAATAAGGCAAGAAAAGAAATAAAAGCTCAAAGAAGCCAGCATGGTGGCTCATGCCTTTAATGCTAGCACTTTGGGGCTGAGGAGGGAGATTGTTTGAGTGAGAGTTTAGATCAGCCTAGGTAATACCCGCTCTACAAAAGCCAGGTGTGGTGGGCACACCTATAGTCCCAGCTACTCAGGAGGCTGGGGGGAAGATTGCCTGAGCTAATGTTTTTGAGGTGCAGTGAGCTATGAATTTTGGCCATTGCATCCAGCCGGGTGACAGAGCACCGACTCTTCTTTAAAAAAAAAAAAAAAAAGGCCCAGGAAGCAATAAAATTTTCATTATTTGTAGGTGACATAATTACATATGTAGAAAAAAAAAGAATCTAAAAAATAACTAAAATAAGTGAGTTTAGCATGATTACTGAATATACAAAAATCAACTGCATTTCTATCAGTAAGTAACAGAAAGTGATAAAAACAAAGTTACCGTTTATAAGAACATCAAAAAAAATCATCTCCCTAGGAATAATCTATAGAGATATGCAAAATCTCTACACGCAAAATCATAAAACATCATAGGAGAATTGAAAGAAGACCTAACTAATCAGAGGGCTAAATATATACTGGCAAAATTATAAATAAATAAACTAACAGAACATAGTGGAATCTATAATAGAAATAGATCTATACGTATGTAGACCTTTGACTTATGACAAAGGTGCCCCTGCAGGGTAGCAAAGAAAGGCAGTCTTTTCTATAGAAAGGACTGGATCAATTAAGGATCTATGTGGGCAAAAAGTGAAGCAATCCCTTCCTCACAACTTTCATAAAAGTAAATTCCAGGTGTGCTATAGATCTAACATAAAAAAGCAAAACAATAAATCTTCTAGAGAAGATAACTTAATATCTTCAAGACCACGGTGAGGGAAAGTTTTCTTAAACAGAACACAGAAAAATCATTAGGAAAAGATCAATTTTAACATTGTCTAATTACAATGACTTCTGTTCCTCAAAAGACATCATTGAGTGGGACAAGATATTTGCAACACATGTAAACAACAAGGATTTTTATTAAGAATATATATAAAGAATTTCTACAAATCAGTGAGTTATACTTCAATAAAACAGTTGAGAAGAGAGCAAACTAAAATGTAATGATGTGTTTTGCCAATTCAATCTTTATACTTGTTTCCAAAGCAATCCATAATTTTTACTGGATTTTTATTTATTATAATTTTTGTGTGTCTTTATAGGAATCCAGTTGCTGGAAGAATTCAGTTGGCTATTGGCATTGTAATCGCTCTTTTCCCGTTAATCTCATGGGTCTACATATACATAAACAAGGAAATGCGGTCCTCCTGGCCAACTCACTGCAAGACAGTAATTTAAATGACTTCAAAATTCCTGTTTTTAAAATAAATATTTTCAGTCAATTTTTTAAAACATTGGGGTGACTAGCCAGTTTCACAGGAGTTTATCTTAGTTCATCTGGGCTAATGTATTTTTTTTTTAATCCTAAGAACTTTTTAAGGATGCCTATAATTCAGTGCAAGATTGGATGGGACTGGTAAGAGCCGGGGTCTCATAGTCTCTGGAAGTCTTTTTGAAGGATATTGTGTCATAGAGTAGTGCAAAAGGCATAGAACAAAAGTTTTAAAGTAGTAGTTCTATTCATCTCTATGAATAGAACTCAACTTCATCTCTGTGACTTGGGGAAATATATAAACCACTTTGTGGATATTTCCTTATTTATAAAATAGCATTAATACCAGATCTCCTACTTACACAGTTGCAAAGATCAAACCAGATAACACAACACATTCTGAAAACATAAAGTGCTTGCAAAGATTACAAAGGGCTGCACAGGATTAAAGGAAAGGTTTGGGTAACACAATGAAATACGGGTTCAAGAGAGGGCGATAGCCTGGAGCTAACCTCAGTAGTTCCTGACCTGGCACAATGCGATGAACTGCATGAGAACTCTACGTGAACCAAAGGAAAAGGCATGTCTTGAAAAGAAAGGGAAGTTGCATAAAGGCATTTGAGACCAATGAGGAAGGAAATAGGGAACAGTAATTACATTCTAAATGAGAAATAAGGCCAAAATCTATACACGTTCTTTTTAAATGGATGGCCCAGGTAACTCCGAGGAGGAAGAGCATTTTAGAACTGCACTCTCCAATATGGTTACCGCTAACCACATGTTGCTACTGAGCACTTGAAATTAGCTAGAGTGACTGACAAAGTAAATTTTCATTTTTTTCATTTGCATTTTAAAAACTGATACTCAGTTATTAGAAAACTTTTATGTGTGTGTGGAACGACTCAGGCCCCTGAGTCTACTTTTTCAACTGAAAATTTTGTATCTAAATACAGATCAAGAATCCCCAATGAAAACTTAGTGTCCAAATGAGTGGGCTGTAAGTGTCCAATGCACACTAGATTTTAAAGATACGGTACAGAAAGAATGTAAGATATTTTACACTGATTACATGTTGAAATATTTTAGATATATTGGGTTAAATAAAATATCAATATTAAAATTGATTTTGTCCGTTTCTATTTACTTTTTAAAATGTGACTGCTAGAATATTTTAAATTATTTGTACAGCTCACCTTGCATTTGTCGGACAGTCCTGTTCTGGAACATCTCAATGGCAGCTGTTTTACATACACTAGCATCAAACTCTGTAGTCAGTGTATTGTTTTATGAGATCTAGGAAATACTTCACTCAAAAAAAATCAGTACCTTCCACATGTCAGGAGAGTGAAAATGAGTCTGGTTGGTAGTTGTTGTTTTTATTTTTATTCCCTTTTTTACAATAGTAAGTATTCTCTGAATACTTGTTAAAGCATAGGTATGTGTGTTTTGTTTTGTTTTTGTTTTCACTGAACAGTGAGAAATTCTCTGAGATTAAGGTTTGGATGAGAGAAAAGGGGGAAAATATCTAGTTGACATTAAAATAAAGTGAAATTTATTTTATGGGGCAATAAAATACATGTAAAGGATTTGAGTTTTCTAGTATACATTTAGCTTACACGATATTTGTGGCTTTTATGCCTTCTTTAATATTAGCTACTAAAGTCACACACAAAGAAACAGACTCATTTGCAAATTCCAATATAAGCCCTACCCATCCTGCAAGTCATGCTTGACTCTGTGCTTAAAATATAGTCATGTTCAAGATGAGCTTTCATCTTATCTACAAGTTCTGTGAATATGCATAGTCCCTTTTGCATCTCCAGAGTTAAGCACATAAAAGGCACTCTTTGTGGAGTACTGTCTTTTCAAGTGTCTTTATTAATGAAATATTTTTTTCAATTGAAGTATTAATAAGTTTAGTATTTCTATCATCAAAACCCCACAGTTGTTTTCCTTCCCACTGGTCCTCTTCTACCTCAGCCTGTCCTCACTTACTGCCTAGACTGCCACTCAAATCTAATCGTGCGCTCCCCAGCTCAGCAGCCCGAGGGCTCCTCGCTGTCCAAGTGAAATTCTAACTCTTGGCTCATCATCTGAGGCTCTTTCACAACGTAGCTCTAGCCAACCCTTTCCTGCTTGACTTCGTGCCACCCTCAAGCACCTTTTGATGAGTCCTCATAGTGTGGCCTGCCACTTCTAAATTCAGCGTATCCTTTGATGCCTCTGCTTATGCTAGTCTGCTTGAAATATTTTTCTCCACTTATTCAAACCATTTTTCTTCCTTTTTCATGTCATCCCTGATCACCTCAAACAAAATTAAGGTCCACCTCCATGGTCTTAGTCCTTTCTTAGTTTGACAGCAAATTGCATACATCTATGTCTGGGGAGCTGTCTCTCATTCACCATAAGGTCTGTGAATGCAGGAGCACATCACAGTCACCCCTGTGCCTGAATAATGGTCCTCAGAGATATCCAGGTCCTGACCCCTGGAACCCATATTACCTTATATCACAAATGGATTTTGCAGATATGATTGAGGATCCTGAGATGGGGATCACCTGGACTATCTGGGCGGTCCCTAAATGTAATCACAAGTGTCCGTGTGAGAGGGAGGCCAAGGGAGATGTGACCACACAGATGGCAGAGGAAGTGCTATGACAACAAAGCAGAGACTTGAAGATGCTACGCTGCTGGCTTTGAAGATGGAGGAAGAGGCCATGAGATAGGCCAAGGAATGCAAGAAATGCAGCTCCAGAGGCTGGAAAAGGCAAGGCAAGGAATTCCTCCCAGATCCTCCTGAGATAGTGTGGCCGTGCCCACACCTTGGTTTTAGTCCAGAGAAAATGATCGCAGACTTCTGACCTCCAAAACTATAAGAGAACAATTATGTGCTGTTTTAAGCCACCAAGTTTGTGGTAATTTGTTACAGCAGCCAGAGAAAACTCATATACCTTTATATCCTCATAGTGGCTAGGTACTCAATAGGCACATTTATGCAAATATTTTTCTTATTTTTTTTTATTTCAGCATATTATGAGGGTACAAATGTTTACATGTGTTGCCTTTTCACCCCCACCGCACCCCCGGAGTCAGAGCTTCAAGCGTGTCCATCCCCCAGATGGTGCACATCGCACTCATTTGTATATACCCATCCCCTTGTTCCCCCTCCCACCTGCCCAGTAAATATTATTTCTGTATGTCCACTTAGGTGTTGATCAGTGAAAACAATTTTCTGGTGAGTACATGTGATATATTCTTCCATTCTTGGGATACTTCACTTAGTAGAATGGGTTCCAGCTCTATTCAGGACTATACAAGAGGTGCTATATCACCATTGTTTCTTAGAGCTGAATAGTACTCCATGGTATACATATACCACATTTTATTAATCCACTCATGTATTGACGGGCACATGGGTTGTTTCCACATCTTTCCAATTGATTACCGAAAACGATACCACAAAGAAGAAATTCAGAACAGTCACAAACTATAAAAACAACTGAATCAACTAATTTAAGTTTTTCTAAAAGGAAATTCTAAATCATAGTGCGCCATCGCACTTAGCAGAAGTATGCCTAACGATGTTCAAGGACAAGAACTAATGTTACATTTCACAACATCTGTCCAGAGAAGCAGAAAAAAATAAATCACAATAAGAACACTATCCAACACATATCAAGAGGACAGTAACCACTTAGATATCAAAAAACTGACAAACAAACACAAAAAAAGAGAGAAAAACTAGCACAGCATCATCACGAGTCATGACACAAATAGAATCATAACAAAACATTACAAATTAGTTCCGCAAGATATATACGCAACACAAAAAGGTTTTATTATATATATCTAGATCAACGTTATATTCTCAAAACAAACACCATAGATTCATGCACATTTACAAAAAATACACAAGAAACATAATAATCATCCAACTAACACAGAACACTTTGATAAATTAACATTCTTCACAACAGATAAAACACACTCTCTTAAGATCAGTGTGAGGAAGACAACTTAACACCAGAAATACGATCAATACCATATACATCAAAGCAAGATAGAGAATTACTGGCAACAATTGAAAACAATCCTACATCCGAATCAGCGCAACTGCAATGAATTAGCACTCTATTGCACACTCCTTTACTACTCAACAATTGTTCTACATATTAAATAACCAACACACACACACTAAACCACACGCTTCCGCAATACACACCACACCAAAACACCACGGACTCAAAGCACAGGCATGAAGCATGGCACTCATCAGCCTTTTACAATACACTACAACTTCTTGAGGCAGACATAGGAGAAGGCGAGACAGCAGGACGAGGAGGAGAATTATCGGAATTCTAGACGTTGAGAGTATTCATACGCACACGCACTAGAAATACACAAAGGCTCATACAAAAGCAGAGTGTGGTGTGCACACCTAATAGCTCCAGGCATCAGAGAGCGACTGCAGTCGGGAGATTAGCGAGCTAAATGTTTTTGAGTCTGCAGTGAGCTATGATGTTTGCCATTGCCTTCCAGCCTGGGTGACAGGAGCACAGCCTTCTGTTTTCAAAAAAAAAAAAAAAGAGCCCAGGAAGCAATAAAATTTTCATTATTTTAGTGACATAATGTACATATGAAAAAACAGATTCTAAAAACATAACTAAAATCAAGTGAGTTTCCAAGGCATCGATTCACCTGCGAACTATACAAAACTCAACTGCATTTCTATCATAAGTAACAGAAAAGTGATAAAAAACAGTTACCGTTTATAAAACATCAAAAAAAAATCATCTCCATAGCAATAATCATCTAAGTAGGAGATATGCAAAATCTCTACACGCAAAATCATAAAACATCATAGGCAGACATTGAAAGAAGACCTAATAATCAGAGGCTAATCTTCATACTGGCAAAATTATAAAAAAGTAAAAAACTAACAGAACATAGTGGAATCTATAGATCCAGAAATAGATCTATACGTATATACGCCT